CAAACTAGGAAAAGAGTTTTTTGAGTCATTGCACCACAGTAAAAACCAGAAAACTTAACAGATTTTTTTTTTCCATTCTTTGTTAAATACACAGCTGAATAATATGTAATTAGGTAGTCATTTATTATTTAGTTAATATTTTACAGTACAATCATTTAAGTGTATATTACAGATACAAAGATATTGTAGAGTATAAAGGGTACCAGATGCTTTATGTGGAAATTCTGGCATAATATTTTCAATTTTTGGTTGTGTATGTCATATGAGTACATACCCAAATGTAGCTACATCTGTAAGGACTCATGATTCAGAACCTTTGAGCCGAATTAAAAAACAAACAAACAACAACAAAAAGTCATAGATACATTCCTCAGAATAACATGCACATACAAAATGTCCATGTTAAAAATAATGCAGTTCTGATAAAAGATTTCAGTTTTATGCCCTTTGGATCAAGGACTTAAGATACATTATGGGGAGCGCTGTGATAACGTGATACTGATTTTCTTGTTGAAAGTCATCTTGATTGAATATATGTCAGTTCACAAATTCTCTGCTGATAGTTGCCATTGTTTCACAGCTAAAGTCTTCAAACTGTCAATTGCAATCAGTTGGAATATTTCTAGGATTTCATCTATCCCAGGAGATAAGCAGGAATATCTATACAATTGGTGTGACAAAAAGCATCCATACCTTTATCGGTGGAAAAATGGTTGATGTTTATATGTAAAGAAAATTTGCTCTCCTTTAAAAAAACTAAACTATTAAATAAAACTATTCTCTTAATGTTCTCTGTGAAATGTAGCAGGGGAAATGATATAACCAATGTTTTATTCTTGGATGGCATTTGCCATTTTCTAAAGGTTGGGAGCTTGACTTCACATTTTATTTATGTAGTTTTTAGGTGTGATTTCCCAGGTGTTTATGAAGCAACATGGAAAACATTCTACCACAGAGCACATTAACTTCTGCTTTGTTCAGATGAGCATCTAAACTTTTAGAACCATATCACTGGCCTCACTTGTTTGGAAAAAGTAACTAGTTGTAGTAGTTGCTTACTATCGTTGGAATGAGTAAGCTGCTAATAGGAAGTACAGCACACCTTTTCCCTGAAGCCACACCATTTTATTAGTTCCAGCCTCCTCTTCCCTTCAGCAATTCTGCACTCAATCTTGCAGTCCTAACTTGATCCCAGGCCCAGTTTTTTACTTCATTCCTTCCCACAGTACTTGCCCTATATTTCGTATGCCAGCCCTCTCTCTTTTCCCTTCTACAACTTTCAATGACTCTTTTCCCCCTAAACTTCTGAATAATTGACCCAAAGAACCACCTATTTCTTACTCTGCAGTCTGATTAAACTAATTGCCATTTTTTCACATTGCTAGATTTTCCGAAAATTGTAACTTGAAAAGTTTGAGGGTATTTGGTTAAAGGCAAATTCATACCAGTAAAAAAAATTATATTTTTTTTAGCAATCAATAATTTCATACTTGTCATACATTTAATTTGCTATTTCAATTGAAAAAGTGTAAAAGAGTGTTACTAAAAATGGAGGATAGTACTGTTGCCAATGATACAATGTATTACTTAAATTACAATCAGATAATACACTGGAAAAAGCTGACTATCAGAATAGATAAACAGTAATAGGATGATAGAAGTTTCTTGTGTCAACTGAGTTTGATTCATGCAGGCTCTTCACAGTGGAACAGAAAGTCTTGTTTTGCATTCAGAATTATTTATGGGTATTCCAATAAGCACAAGATTGTCAGGATGTAATAGTACTCTAGTACTTCAACCTTTCCACAGTAATACTTGGGAGTCAACTTCCCACTTGTTGTGGTTTAACCTGGCAGGCAGATAAACACCACACAGATGTTCATTCACTCCCAGCCCCCCAGTGGGATGGGGGAGAGAATCAGGAAAAAAAAAGTAAAATTCATGGGTTGAGATAAAGACAGTTTAATGGGACAGAAAAGGAAGGGAAAATAATAATAATAATTACTACACAAAGCAAGTGATGCACAGTGCAATTGCTCACCACCTGCTGACCGATGCCCAGCCAGTCCCCGAGAAGCGGTCACCACCCCCCGGCTAACTCCCCCCAGTTTATATACTAAGCGCGACGTCATGTGGTATGGAGTAGCCCTTTGGCCAGTTGGGGTCAGCTGTCCTGGCTGTGCCCCCTCCCAGCTTCTTGCTGGCAGGGCATGAGAAGCTGAAAAGTCCTTGACTAGCGTAAGCACTACTTAGCAACAACTAAAACATCGGTGTGTTATCAACATTGTTCTCACCCTAAATCCAAAACACAGCACTGTACCACCTACTAGGAAGGAAATTAACTCTATCCCAGCTGAAACCAGGACATCACTCTAATAGGGAAGCTGGAATGTTAATCCAATTGTGGGACCTGGTCACACAGAATGAACATTGAAAGGAATAGATTATCTTCTAATGCCTCGTCTTTACTATTGAATAAAATATCCCAAGCAGTAAAGACCAGGTTAAACTCCCCTTGTACAGTAGGAACAGAAAGGTGTGCCATGGATGGTTCAAGTGAGGTGCTCTGTGTATCTGTGCCTGTTTTCAAGTGTGCTTCTGAGACTGTTCTGGTATGTCAAGCCTGTTCCTGGATACTAAGTACTTCCAATTAGGCAATCTAATTGGTCACTGAATCACTGATCTCTGTTTTGTTACCCTCATGGTTCATTGAATTTTTATGAAGGTGTAAGGAAATGGACAAATATGTGAATGATATCAGAAAATTTTAAGTCATCATTTTCTGTTCGCTTTAAAAAAGGAAAGTTATCATGTTTGCCTATATGTCTGGAATCTTCTTGTCAGAATAGTGGAAATCTGTTTTCACCTGATGCAGGGGTGTATGGGGGGATGTATGCGTGTGTGTGTGTGTGTATTAATGATCATATTAGAAAACGTGTAGTGCTGCCTTATCAGACTAACTTCATTATTTTAATATAAGTGAAATGAGTTGCTGCTGCAAATTTTCTGTTTATGCTATCTGTAACAAAATATGTAATATTTCAGAAATCTGTGAGGATGCAGACTAGTATTTTCATTTTGCCATACCATCATTTGATATACTTTTGCCATCGACTACTGTAATGTAGCAAGTAAGGGATGTGTGGTAAAAGGCTAGAAGTCTAAATGAAGGTTGCAAAAAAAAAAAAAAAAGTATCTTGGACTTCTTTTGCCTTTTTAAAAATCTGCTATGTCTAAACCTTGTCTGTGTCTCCACACTTAATTGCTTATTAATACTAATGTAATATTTGTAAGAGTTTTGTGGTGTTACTTGCAGGGTTGCATCTAAATCATTTAAGGGCATATTCATGTGGATATAGCCTGGGAATGTCACCACGTAGTGGTGAGAATAAGCTGGTATGCAGTTGTTTGCCATCATCACATATATCATAGCTACTATGGGGTAGACTCCTACATTTTTATTTGATTGTTCTTCTTGTGGGTGTGCATATATTCTAAAGCAAATTTTAAGAACATGAAGGAATTATTTTTTAATGCTTCTTGGCAGCATGCTGACTGCCAGGCTGTTATGGGTAGACTGCTTTTGGTACTCAGGTCTGTGCATTAGTTTAAGAACCCTAATAATTTTTGCAGCCTGCAGTGTAGCCCTATGATTATTTTCTTAATTGTTAGTCCTTCTTAGGATCTCATCTTCAAATTTTCAGCGTACCGTGTCAAATTGGGCCCTGCTGAATTGTGTACGTCTCCTCATTCTTGTAACAAACTGCAAAGTTTAAATTGCATAATCAGGGTCTTAAGTTAGAAGCTTTTATAGTGGTGACTATGCTTTTGCATTTATTTGACAAGAAGTGAGCACAAAGATCTCTTGCACTATATATAATTAACTTAATATGCTTATAAGGAATATTTACATGTGGCTGATGATACATTTTATCCACAGTCAAAAGAGGCAAAGATTATAAGCGTAGGTAATATAGCTACCTGTAACAATGTGTTTGATTACTAGAAAATCATTAATTATGAGCAAATTAAGATATGAGAAATAGAAGTGGAGGATAAACATGAGGTTTACCATGTTTCTTGTGAAATCAGTTTACACTTCCAATGTGGATTTTTGTGATTAGACATTCCTTTAAAATACCGCAACTTCAGAGGAGCTGTAGACCAGGGACTCCTTTGCATTCTAATAATTCCTTGTAAACTGGAAGAAAAAAAACTATTTTCAAAACCATTTTTCCTGTACAGTGTGCATATATTTACACTAAAAGAGAAATAACATTCTATTTTTGATAATTGGAAAATATCTAGTGCTGTAACAAATATATTTAAAATATATAAATTTTAACATATTTTCAAAATACAAACAAAATATAAATATCTTGGGTTTATTATTTTGAAATGCATTCATTTGGTTTTTGACATATTCTGTTACAGATGTTATATCTCTTCATTAATTATTTAAATAATAACAAGGCTTTCATCTAAATTAATCTTTTATCACAATAGGATAAATATTAGGAAAACTTACACTCAGAAATGGGAAAGCTCTGGAACTAGCTATGTGGGGACAGATTTCCCAATGGTGGTAGCCTTTCAGACAAACTAGGTAAACCTCTGCCAAAGTTATTATTCATACTGAAGTTATCACTGCCTTCAAGCAATTAAACAGGCAATCTGACTTCTTGAGATTGCTTTCAGACAGACTTTTATACATTTTTTCCTCCTAACTGAAATAATATGGAGAATCTCAAATTATAGCTATCTGCTTCATCCATAGTCTCCTACTGGTTTCTAAGAATAAATGTGTGAATCATCTAGATGATTTTACCTTTAGAACTGTATATCAGATTTCTAATTTTGTTAATAATTTCAGTGCTCTATACAATGCTTTCGTAGCTCCTGCATTCTCAGATTTTTATGTCTTCTGTTGTGTGATGTGTATCATTCCTTCTCCATCTTATTGTCTCATATTTGTATTTTTCTTTCTGCCATCTACTCAGTCATTATATTACTTTACCTCGTTCCCGGTACACCCAGTCCACAGATCACCATTACAGAGATGCCAGGTATAAGTTTTCCTCTGTGTGACTCTGTGTGGATAATGCATGTACTTCTATGTACCTACACATCCACTTCTGTTTTTATTAGTCTGTGTATAGTGGTAGAAAACTTAGGAGTGTTGAGTTAATATCAGCATTAGCTTTCCTAGTATAGTGTGTAGACAAACACTGGGTAATTCTTCATATGTTTCACTTTTTAAAGATTTTTCACTGCCAATAGTCTATAATTGGTGGTCCATGAAGATGATGCTTTATTTACATGATTCTAACGTCTTTTAAAAAGTCAATAAAGAAAATTATTTAAATCAACAAACACAAATACCTGCTAATACAGAATGTCATACACATATGGCTGTGTTAAAGGTTACAACAGGTAAAACTGGAGTGTGATACCTTTCTCGTAGTCTCAGCTGCAGGCCAATATACCTTAATTTTTAAAATTAGTCCTGCAAAATTCACTGAAGTAGCAACCGAGTTTTGTTCCAGTGTTTTGTTCTGTTGCTGACATTGCTTGCTTTTCATGTTGCTTTGTCCTCATTTCATCTTTGTGTTGCTTTTCATTGTGTTCACCCTTTATGTTTTGGCAGCCAGGATCACACAATGTATCCTCTATTTTGTGAAGATGCAATCAGATTACTTCGCTCCCGTAAGATGTGCCGTACCTATTCTGAGGGTGCTTACTATGATCTTGAGAGGTATAATTGATGTGGAGCATATTGTTAGCTCTGCCACTTATACTTTGGCAGTACTGTGTTTGGTTTCCAAACTGAGAATGTGATCTATGTTTTAAGTGATAAACACGTACAATGAAGATGTTTTATAATACTCTGTGAGTATGTATGCGCCTAAAACTGACTACTCAAGACTATGGGTAAATCCCAAGAGAAGCTGAATAGCTGTATAGAAGTCAGTTTCATAAATTATGTGGGTATTATATGTAAGTGTCTTTGTATAACCCTCATTTTTGCTGGAATTTTGCAAGGTGCTTATAGTACTTATTAATCTATGAAATAATGAGGAAAAGCCTATCTACTTCAAAGTACACAGAAATAGAGTCTTTCTGAAATCTCATACTTTGCTTAACTGAAAAATAGAGTGAAAAGTAAAAGTATAAGCTTATGTTATAGATATTTATATAGTGCTTATTCTGTAATTTATGAGTACTTGTATATATTCACAATACCTGTGTGTGATTACAGAACATCAGAGTTCCTACTTATATATGAAATATATGGCAGAGAGAAGTTGACCCCATAATAATTTCTATTAAATAATTATACTTGAAATACAGTTGCTTTTAAAAGATGTAATAAGACATGCTGGTGTAGTACTGTGATTATGATATTTTCAGAAATATTTCAAAAGAGGAAAAAGTCTACATGGTTGTGTGTGAATAGAAATAAGGATATAAATCTGATAAACTGAGCCAATAAAAAGGAAGTGGTGGCTTCAGATCTCAGATAGCAGATATAATGGTTGATATGGCTATTGCTTTACAAGAGGGGCCATGTAAAATTTTCCATAGCAAGAACTGAAGAACTCATCATATATTAACTTCATGGCTGCCCTCTGGATATGAGTTCCTCTGAGAAGTTCGTTAAGGTTTTCTCTGGATTCATATAATATATAACCATATTTTTAGTAAGTGTAAAACTATTTTTGGATGCAGAAACAAAATAGAATCTGAAACTTTTATAGTACCATAGAAGTATTCCTTCCAAAGAAATACTGCTTTTTAAAGTTTCTCCAAAGCTATCGTATAATAGACATTATAACCCTTAGAACTCAGTTAAACATTTGTTTTGAAATGATGCTGTTTCACATAAAACGTAATATAAAGAAAGTGTGTCAATAGTTCAGTCTGCATGTAGAAACTTTAATAAGGAGAGGGATTTTTGGTTTGTTTTCTGAAAATATGTGATGAAATGTGCTCACACGAATGCTATTTCAATAGTTAATTTTTATATACTGCTTTTTGTCTTAGTTATATACTCACATTTGCATTAGTTTATCTGAACCTGTTTCAGATTGCCGGTTGTATTTGTGACTGTTCAGATATTGCTGAAAGTTGGAGCTATTATCAAGTTGTCTTAGTTTGAGGATCTTGACTTGCAAATCTTAATCTTTGTTTCTACAGAAAGTAATTTCTCAAAAATAAAGTCAATGAAAATAAAGGGCAAAAATGACAGTACTGCATAAAGATGAAAAAGCTGGGATTTAAGCAGTGAGATGGAGTAAATCTTTTCCAGGGCTTTATTGAAGAGAATGCTATTAAAGTTAATTCCTTTTGGGGTCAGAAAGGAAAATCTGACATGAAGTGGAATATCTCTAGCTCTCTGTTAGAACAGTATCTTGAGATTCCTTGGGCCTAGGAGCTGATGCTGGATTCTCTGATCCTCTTGAATCCAGGCTGCCTGTGGGTAACGTTAGTGTTCAAGTTACTTGAGTCATCTTACCACATATGAACTGCTCTGAGTACCTCATGGCCACTATCGTTTTCTTAGTTTTTCATCCTTTTTGTCTTTCCATATTCTGACAACAGTTCTCTAGGTATTTAAGGACCATTTAAAGCATAATCTTTATCCAGTTCCTCCTTATCCATTGAAAAACACTAAGTAATTTCCTCTTCCTTATTTTATTTATTGGAAATATATGAAAAATTACTTTTTAAACAATATTCCTCATTTATCTTTACACTTTTTCCCAGTTTAATGCTTACTTTAAATTACATTATTTTTGTAGGTCAAGGTATTAGTCCTGTGTTCTGAGTTCCATTGGCTTCATCAATGTCATGTTGATCTCAAGCAACCACCTCTCTTCCTGTCTTTTACTTTCACTTTATTAAGCATCTGAAATAACTTTCCAGTTTTCACTATTCATCAAAATAGCAAACATTGTTCTGTACAGTCCAGCATTCAGGGAGGAGTCTCTCATCTGGGACAGAGAGTTTTGTATCTTATGTCACTGTGAATCCACCAGTGTGGGTGTCCTGCAGGCAAATATGTCATACAGATACATCAGTCAAAATTACTTGCCTTCTTTGTCATTCATGGCTTCTTTCATTGCTTATCTTATAGTCATTCACAGCCAGCCCCTTAACTCTTGTGGTGTCTTCTAGCAGGTTTGGGTTTTTTTTTCCTCACAGAGTGACTACTTCATTCTCTTTCATCTTTTCTCTGCTGAAGTTTGTTCCAGTTACTGTTTATCAGATTTGATAGTCTTTAGTTCGTTAGTTCTAGGACACATTTACATTGTCAAAACCCTTAATTTCTGAGTTCATTCTTAGGCTACAGCACTCATCATTTTGTCTTCGTGATAGTTCTCCCCTTTCAAAGAAATCCAACTGTTCCCTCCCAAAAGAAACAGAGGCGGCATTGACAAGATACTTACTCCAGCATATGCCTAAGAAAGACAATAGGCACACATGCAGCTTCAGTGATTTCAGTGCCCTTTGGACCCAGGCCTTCCTCAAGAATGCCCTGCTGCTCAGTACCCCACTCCAATTTTCCTTGACTCTTTAATGTGATCGTCAGCATGGTAGCACTAGCTGGTACCAGTTCACACTGCTGCAGCTACTCAGATGAAACATATATAAGACATCATGGCTGGACTTGTAGAGCTTTACTTACACTTTTATTTATATCCCCCAATTCAGAGTCCTATAGAGTTATACAGGCTAGTTCATAATTTGGCAGTCACCCATTTAAATTGGCTGACATACACATAATCTCAATGACATAGTAATGTTCTCAAGATTTTTATCCCAATTGTTTTTAAAATTAAAATATTAGCAGTTCTCCCAAATAAAAATCTGCTGAAAACCTCACTGTATGAAATTCTTTCTTAACTTACCTGTCTCAGAGCTCAGCTTAGTCACTGAGAACACCACACTCTGTGCTATTTTCATTTTTTTCACTTAGCCTTTGAGGTTAGTATTTGGAAGTCAATAAAAGCTGTTTTGTGCACATTTTGTGCAGGATGTGAGGTTTATTTCAGGCAGAATTTCTGTTGCTTCACTTAAGGAAACAAAATTTTGCCTCCATTTTGTTTTCTGACTTCCGTTTTACCAGTCATATCCTATTTTTGGTGAAATTTCTCAGTTGCTCAAATACTATTTTCCTATTGATGTAACTTCTCACTCCTATGAAATATGTGTGCATTGATCAAATGTTCCCAATATGTTGTTAATTATTTCTGAATAGAATTTGAAAGTAGAAGTTTAAAATGACATATATATGAAAATATACATTCAGAATATACTGCTGAACTGTAGATAAATGTGCTCTATGTTCATCACTATCTTAATAATACAGTGAAGGAAAACATCATGAAATAAGCACCCTTTAAAATGTCTGAAATATCTGTGCTGTTTATTCCATATTCAGGAGGAGTAGGCAGGAGAGAAGAGTGCCTAATTCATATTATGACGACACAACCTATATTCCTGAAAGGTATTTTAATTTATATAGTAAAAATAGATAAAGTTGAGTAATACATTTTTTCTGAAGTGTAGTCTAAAATTTTTAATTGGCCTAGACTAATGATAGTTAAATTTACAGTGCACTTTATGCAGTATTTCTCTAAACACAGAACAACTAATCTCCATAGTTTTAAGTACCTCATTTTCTTTTAGCCCTCCATTAACTTGACTTTGGATTTTATTTTAGGCATAGTTCTCAACTTGAAAATTTTTTTATTCATTAGATGTGGGAGGAAAACTGAATAGTACAGAGGAGCTAGGTACAACTGAAGGTTTTTTCCCCACTTAACTGCATCATATTTCTAAAGGCTAACCTTATCAGTCACTAGGAGTGATTATAGGACAATTTAGAATCCTCAATTTCATTCTTTTAATAACCTGAGTCACCGAAGGTCCTCAGCTTTTGGCATGTTACTGCCCATATTGATTTAAAAAAGGACTAACTGAATGCCTTCAAACTGATTTTGTGTGCTTGTTGTGCTAGGACTGAAAGTACTATTGTTCTTCCTAAATTTTGATATGCATATAGTGTATCACAATGAACATAATATAACTAAAATCTGATGTGTGATCTGAAAACTTTTGGAGTGTCTCTGGAAATAGTTATTTGATAACAGCATTTCATGTTTAGAGAGCTAGGCAAAGTCCAAAAAGAAGGAAATCTGATGAAAGAAGCAAGTTGATGTTCCTCTCCCTTTGTACAATTAGATCTTTTCTATTTCTCTGTTCATTTTTAAGTCAGTGTCTGATTTTTGTCCACAGTATGGGAGCAGGTAAAGCAGGGATTGTTTTCTAACTAATAGCAAGAAATTTTGTTTTTATTTGATTGCTATGAATAAATACAGTCATATTTAACAAAAAATAAAGTGCACTGCAATTTAAAAACCATGCTTATGTATTTATGGTGTCTATAATGAAGTACTTTTACAGAAGAATCTTACTTAAAATACTGGCTAACGAGAAACTGGCTTCAGTTTTAAGGATACGGGTGATCAGGGAGAGTGTAAAAATATACCTGTCATTCTCCAGCTGTATTCTAATTTAGATTGAACTAAATCTAAATCTAATCTAAAACTAAATTAGATTAAACTAAAGTAACTTTCATCCAGTCATTGATCTGGCTACAAACCACGCAAAAAAAAATGCCATTCCCCATACCATCCAATCCGATAAAGAAACAAGAGCAGCTGAGTGACATTCACATATACTGCACTCCATACCGTCTTCCCTCAACATAATGACCAGGAGGTGTGGGGTTATTTAGTTTGTAAACATATTGCAAAACCTCAGATTCTGAAATCTGAGAAGTTTGGAAAAAAATGGAGTCAAGCAAAAAACACTGCTGTGATTCCCAGGAACAGATTCATGAAGACCCTTGGATAAGTGTATTCAAGCCACCAAAAAGTTCAACCTTCAGACTTTGGCTAGGATTTTCAGTACAGACAAAGGAAGATTTATATCCAAGTTGATAATAAGGTGGTCCCTTGATCTTTTCTGAAAATCCCTGCCTTGCTTCTCACTCACTGTCATGTGGAAGTCATTGAACAGTGGGACTACTGCAGTTCCAAGGCTTTACCCAAGCAAGATCCTGAATATATGGAACTCCAGAGATCCAGCTGAAACTCCTTAACCAAATGTTGGATGATTTGTATCTAGTCTTACGATGCTGGAGTAATGGCACTTAAACAGTTTATCCCCTGCTTTCTGAAAGGAAAGCAGTTTTTTTGTCCTGTTATTTCTTTTCTCAATGGTTCTACTTAAGATAAAATATTTCTACATGTGTTTTATGTTGTCTTCAACTGATTTGCTGAAATGATACTGCAAACGTTTAGGTAGCCCATGTTCAGTACCTGGAAGAATAATACAGGTATAAAATTTAATTAGCTTTCATTTGACCTGAGTGAAGTGAGTTTTCTTCTGCTTCTTAAATAACTGAAAAAAACAACAACCCTATCAAATATAAAAAATAATAAATTTGAAAAAGTTAGATATTTGAAGTTAAAAGCAGTATTTTAAACTATTGCTACATAGAATGTTATTTTTGTTAATGTTATATCCCCGCAGTTTTTAATTATTCCACAAACTCAATAGCCATTGAAAACATGAAGACTTTTGTGTAAGAAAAGATAAGGGATCGGTTAGTCCTTATGGAACTGAAATTCATGGCTAAACTGCTGAAAAGAATAAAACTGCTGAAAAGAATAAAGATGAAATATATTAAGAATAATATCAGGAAAAAGTAAACATAATTTGCTTTGTTTTTAATTAAAAAAAATATGGTTTTCTTTATACCTGTGAGAAAACAGAAAATGTACAAAATGATTTGGAAACGTTTGGAAAGCTTCCCATTTTATTGAGAAGTGTCATATGAATTAGAGTGTTATTAATAATACATATGTTTCTTTATAACATTTCTTTATTTTAACTGCATTGTAAAGGTGGTACAATGGTGCAAGTTCATGGGCAGATCATGTAGTCAATGGTTCAGCTGAAAATTATGGGTAAGTAAAGAGTGTAGCGTTACAGATATAGCTAAAATGTATTTCTAATCTTTATAATATGAGTTCATTTATAATTGTACTAAAGTTATTCCTAATAAGTATCTTTTTTTTTATTTCTCTCTTTCTTGACTCAGGACTAAGGCACATTTATGTGCTAATCTTTTTTTCCAAGATTAAGCTGTTTTATTCAGTTACAAATAGAAAAAGAACATTAATTATGTTTGAACTATTTTTAAAACAAGTTCTCACTGTTCACGGCCGCTATAATGAAAAAGGGCTTTTTGACTGATAATACCTGCCTACATTGACAGTGTTGGGGAATGTGTCTTTGAGACCTAATACTTTTTAGTTTTAGAAATAATCCCAGTTCTAACTGTCTAACCTACCTTCCTGTGTGATTGATGCATAACTCATGCAAAATGCTGTGTACCTTATAATCTTCAGTTCTTCCCAGCTGCACTTGGGTCCTGATCAAGGGAGCGCACAATTTTTCCTTGCTATTAGTTCTTTGACTTTACTGCTTCTCCCTCATTTTCTTATTGCTCTTGCAACATTTTTCTTCTTTATTTTTACTTACTTCCTTTGTGAATGTGCACAGAGCTTGCTTCTTTCTGCCCTTCCGTATCTTGTAAGTAGGAGCTGGACTATGCTGGTGGCATATTTTGGCTGACTAAAACAAACAAACAAAATGCTGGTAAATCCTGAAGTTCTTAAGTGAAACTCCCACAGAGTTACTGGGAACTTTTCCTTGATGAATACTAAGACTTACAAAACTGTATCTCAAAAATATTTGTTGTGAAATTATACAAAATAACACTATACATTGGTGTCTCAAATGTTATAATTATGTGCATACAAATACTTAATAACGTAAATTGTGCATGAATATTGAATTAATTACTTATTAGTAAATTAATTACTGACCATACTTTGAATTTTGTGTTTCTGTTTATTCTTTTGTGGTGATACAAGTCAATGTATCTCTCTGGAGAAATAGTTATGTATAATATATATGAGATATATATAAAAGGGATTAGTCACAGTTCACCCGCAGTCCTAAGGCTATTTAGTTAAAATTGTGATTCATATTTGTCCTGTATATGTTGACTAAAACAGGAATTGTGTTTAAGGAATTCAGAGACTGAAGGAGAACATAAGTGACTTTGTCAACTTGAAAGTAAAAAAATCTGGTAAACTCCAAAATTAATCCTTCAATATTTTAATGCAAGTTTCTCTCTTCTCTAGAGAGGAGAGGTTTGTAAGGGTTTTTTGGCTCAACATTAGTGCAGCCACAGAGACTTACTTGAAACCATATTTCTTCCCTAGATTTTTGAACCATAATGCCACTGTTTGCTGACTTTTCAATTTTAAGTGTTTGAAGTGTACTCTTAATTTGTGCTTACGGCAAGGGCCATGCTTATTAGTTCTTCCTGGGAAAGTGCACAAGCATACTGAAAATGCATTTGAAGAAGGCTGGAAAGTGCTTAGTGTAAACAAAGCTTTCGTGTTTGCTTTTGATAGTCACATTAAATATTTCTGGTTTACTTCACTTGTCTTAGATTTATTGCTGTATAGATGCTAACATAGGTAAATATCAGGGGAAAAAAAACAGATTTGTAACTTGAAAAAGAAACTTATTTGTTAGTACTCTCTGTCCCCACTTAAACTTAGCTCCAAAAAGCTGTGGAAAAAGAAATAAAAGATAAGAACATTTGTTGTGAACCAGTATGGCTTTTCGGTAGACCATAAGGCATAGAACATACTTTAATAGAACGAAGACTACTGAAATGGATCAGATTCTGTTAAGATCAATGGATTTACAGAATGCCTTTAGCAGGAACAGTATGCTGTTTTGCTCATTCGCAATTTAAGAGCTTAAAAAATAATAAAGTCTTACATAACTACTTGTCTTGGAATGATGTGATTGAAATCCTGTCCTCACCAAGTGACAGAACTCTTGTTGACTTCAGTGAGTTCAGAATTACAGGTCTGTTGCCAAAAGTTAAGAAGACAGATAAACACATATTTGCAGTATTAAGCCCTGTTTGTGATAATTTACTAATGTCTGCCATATTATTGGTCTTTTAAAATGTTACTGGGAAAAAAGAGGCCAAGTAAATACAGTGTGCCATGTACAAATAAAGTTATATTTAAGATCTGAGGAAAAAAAATCCCACAAAACCCACCAAGAACCAAGTACTTTACAAATTTTGCATTTAGTACTGCACTGTACAAAGGCATATTTAGGTACATGCTTAATTTTAAGCCTAGGACTAACGTATTTGATTAGTCTATAGTCTAAGTGCTCTGCTGAACTGCATTTGAGTATTCAAGCCCTACTAGGAAATGCTTCTTTCTCATTGCATCTCTTCTCAGGCTTCTCTGTGCATTGTCTTATATACCACTTACTCTTCAGTCATGAAATACATGTTCATTAAAACCCTTGAATGTTCCTGTCATTGCTCATACATTATGATACAACATTCAAGTTGAGCAGGTGAAATATTGTGTTCTGAAATGAGAAAAAATGTGTAATAAAGTTATAATATAAAGCTGAAACTTATACTTTGGAATATTTCTAATATTTTTATTAAAATTTAGATTATTATCTTGGAGAGAATTGCAGCAGTATGTTCAGTTATAAAATTGAGCTGAGGGATGGGAGGGAGAGGATTTCAGCTCTCTGAGAATTTTGAGTTCCCAGCTTTTGAATGCTAATCAGTTTTATCATGATCTTCAGTGAGTTATCTCATGAAGATAGACATATGTGTTCCTGCAGTGTGATTCTTTAATATGTGTCAATTGAGGGTCTATGTTAAAGATGCTGAGAGCTGGAAGTAGTTGGCAAAATACAAGGTGCTATAAAAGGCAACTGGCTATATAAATGAAAATGTATGTTACAAGTACCAGAAACAATAATGTAAAACCAAACACTTAACGTATTACATTATAGCAAAAAACTGCCTAAGTCTCTCAGACTTTTAAATTAGTAGTGAAGGAATACCTCCAAACATTTCATATTGTAGGCACAGAATAAAAATATGAATGAATGTTAATATGATAAAGTTAGTGCAAGCTGAATAAATTGGTAAAGACATAAGACAACATATATGTTGCTTGCATTCATTGATTCACCTCTGTCTAAGGAAATGGTAGCCTGCGAGGTTCATTTTTTGAGAAATTACCTTTGAGCAAAATACTGGAAACTGATTCTTAAATTAGTTGAAGTTAACCAGTTAAGTGAAATTAGTATTATTAGCTTATTTGTTGTGTTTGCTTTCATTTAAATGCAGTTACAAATAGTGGTAACTGGAAGTTAAGAAGCCTCTTTCTCAAAAGCATTCCCCACTTCTTTTTGTTTAATGTTGAGATTTTCTATGAAGAAGAAATTGCTTACATATTTTTACTATTTTTCCTTCAAATGTACAAGTTGCTTTTCTATTCCTCCAAAATACACAAAATTAATTGGGTCTGATGTTACAGATAAAGAGGGTATGAAATATTTCAGCACATCATTTCAGTCTTAATTGTTCCAGGATTGACACTACTTATTGGTTTTATTGATATTTAGTTGTAATAGCTAGCATAAACCTCTGACTGCATCCATTGAATCATAAACTAATTTGGGTTGGGAAGAACCTTGAAAAAACTATCTGGTCTAACTCCCTACTTAAAGCAGGGCTTTGCTATTCCTCAGTAAATCTATCACTGATGAAACATATTTTGGAGAGTAAATCTCTATAGATGTAGCTACATGTGCTTTCTTTAAGCATTTTTATAATTGTACCATGCCATCATGTGTTAGCATGATTAGATATGTCTACAACAGAATCACCAAAGTGACTGCAATGCCATGTAAACAAGCTGTAAGCAACTGAGTTTCTGTAGCTGTAGCAGTCTGTGCATAGCAGCGTGGAGCACAATGTGCCTGGGATCGCAGCTGAGTTCTCTGCTTTGTCTGCTTAGCTGAGTTAGCTAGTAGAAAAGTAGTACACATACTGGCATGTTACAGTTTAGTCATGCCTGTGACTGTCATGTAGATATACCTGTAGTTATCACATACACCACAGTGTAATGTGCATGTGAATAGATCATATGAGTGTGTGCATGTATGTGTATAGATGTATATATACCACATATATATAAAGCATGATAGAATATTACTGCAGCAGAAATGTCTTGCTTTGCTTCCTATTTCTGTTTATTTTGCAAGAGTACCTAAAGGCGTTACGTTCCTGGCTTTTTGAAACTATAGCAGCACATCAATTTTTATTAAGTTTCTTTATAGGTATAGATAAGTGATTTGGTGAGATATCCAGTCACCAGTTTGTCTAGATATTTGGCAGTATACTGCTCCTTCCCATTTTCCATTACAATACTTATGACTCAAATTTAAGTTTTCTTGGTACTAGAAATCTCAGTTGTTTGTAGACATGCTTGTCTATGTTATGCTAACAGAGGATCTTGTGTCTGTGACTAAACAGCAAAGTTCCTATAGCTAGTAGAAGAGTAACATGTCCAAGGATTGAAATCCAGCAGCCATCCACAGACACTGACAGGTATTACCATTGTATATTAGCTGGAGTTTGAAATGATGATAATTAGAAAATGTATCACTGTATTTTTCTTGTTCTGTGCTCAGTGTTACTAGATGAAAAAAGATGCACTAGGAGCTGAATTGTAGTGTACTGTAATCCTACAGCAATTCTATTTTTATTTCTTCAGTTTTTTGTTACAAGAACAACCTAGTACTAAAATTGTGATTGGCATGATCTCATAGCTTGCTTTTTTAGTCTTGCACACAATAAAAGAATTTAACATGGGCTTTCAAATAAACTGCTTTCAGTTATTTTGGGGAAAAAATAACTTATTTTTGCTGTAAGCTGTTATAATTGCTTACTGTTGAAAAATGTTCATCTTTTATAAGGCTTTCTCTATACATAAGTTTAGATCAAAGAATGTATTCATTTGTTGAAAATTCTCCTTTTTATCTGTTAAGAAAAGTAACAAATCTGAAAAATTAAAAATTAGAAATGGTTATTTTCTGCATTGGGAAACGAGTTAGCTTTTGAAATTTCCAGAATATGAATATAGAACAATGCAGATAAATCAGTAGTTAAAACAAAATGTTGTAGTACCTTTGGTTAGATACTGTAGTTACTAGAATTTACAGTGGTGCCTAAATAGTATGGGATTCTAATTCTAATTTTTGATTGGTTTGGAATATAAAATTAGATTGTGAATACTCACAGAGCTTTCTGCATGGTGGCTTACAGAGAGCTCAAACAGTTTCAGAGTGATAGGTGTGCTTGGTTAAGAAGCAAACACTTACTGCTGTACTCTTTCCTCAGTGTAGGGGAGAGTTATGCCCACAAGTCTTGCAGACTTTGACAGGGGGGGAATAGGCCACCTACCATGCATGTTTTCCTTAACAAAGGTAGAAAGATGCTACAATAGGCAATACTAAATGGAGGAGGTCACTATTTGATATTTCATTAACTGTGTTTTTTATAATGAAAAGTCTGTTAGCAAAGATAAACAGCTCTAGCATACATTAAATTATTATATGGATGTTGAATACTTTAACTTAGACTATTATATTTCACTCTTTAAAAATCAGTAATTCATATGACATGAATTATAATGAGAAAAGAGGAAACTTTCATCTAGACGACTTGGGAGCATAAGCCCTCAAGAATGTTATTTGAAAAGTTATGAACTTCTGTTTTTAATTTACTGAGGTGTTTTGAAAAAACTCCCCCTCCATGCTTATGGCTGGATTATGATATTAATGCATAGTTGTATACTGTGGTAGGTGAGGAGCTTCACTGCCCAAGCAGGTTATTGGAGTGATATTTTTTCTATAAAAGGGACAGTTCATTTTTGAATACCTGGATCATATAGCATATGTGTTTACTGTTAAAAGGACAAAAAAATATGTGAAGGCAAAGAACAGAGAGTAAAACTGTCTGTTGGATTGTTCTTTATATGTGTATGATCTAAAACCACACAGTGAAGCTTTCAAGTGGAAGACTGTCAGTATGCTTAGATAGCCCTCCATTTGCTGCTGTGGGTACTGAGAGGTTTGCAGCATGTAGCCTGTAACTTGGGGGTAACAACTCAGTTTCACCTCAGGATTCAACTTAGTCTTCAAATCCTTCAGTCTACAAAACAACAGTGGTGCCAAAGCTTAATCTAAAAGCAAAAGGTTCACTGCCAAAATCCATGTTCTCCTTCACTTCTGGGAACTCCTGGTTGTTTTTCAACTTGAAGTAAATGCCAGCTGCAGATTGTGGCAAACTGAATATTTATATTAACTATTGAATATGAAATTTCTGAGGCCTTTATCTGTTAGCGTAGTGGTTAGCTATAGTGGCTCCATGATGCTCTGCAGAATACAAAACCTGCCCACTAAGCCATTAGTATTGATCCTAATGGTAAAAATGCCTCCCTGCCTTCTAATACAGGCGATGGGTCAGATCCCTAATATCCTAAAAAATACTTTTTATACTACAGCTAAAGAGAATGAGGCCTTAGGAGTAACAAGTGAAAGAGGCTTAACTTCTCATGAAGTGTTTATGAGAGTCACGTGGTTGCTACTCACCTGTTCCTCTGTATGTCCTCCTGGCTGTTGGAAGCAGAGAGAAACAGAAAATGGAATGATACCTCTCGCCATATTGCTCAGTGCCTGCTGATGTGTGCTCCAGCAGTCCCCCACTCACTGGCAGGAGAAGGGTTGTTCTAGCACTCTGTGCGACAGACCCAAAGAAGAAATCCTCTGTGGGCTCACTGATTTTCTTAAATATGTGGGTAAACAAGGTAGGGGTGGGTTGTCTGGACCTTACGCATATTCTCTTTTGTAATTTTGTTGAATTTAGGAATATTTTTTCTTGGAATTTATTCCCATAGTCTAAGAATTTATTCCCATGGTCATTTTTTTAACCACCATGCAGATGGCTGACACCTTTCTCACCTTCCATAGCACTGAAACCTCTCTTAAACAGTTACCTAAACTAAGCAACATTCATATCAAAGCTAAGGTTGTGTTTCTTTGTCTATCCACAATGTAAAAGAAGCGAGACAGTGGATGTTTTTGCTGATGAAGCTTCCCATTCAGAAACAGAACTGATAGAAGAAGAAGTGAGGTAATTTTGTTGTGGTTTTGTGCAGGCTCATTGTATTTTTCCTCCAATCTTTAGTACCTCAGCTTATAATTACCATTACGTGTCTCACTGTGGTGTGTTTGCTTGTTAGGAGCTTATAGATGTAGGTTCATGGTGAATGGTATTATTCTGAACCTGTCTGTGGCAATTCCTTCATATGCTCTAGGAGTCCAATTATTACCTCATGGAAGGCCTGAAGAGACATTCGTTTTAATGACTCTTTTATCAACCCATTCGGTAGAGTTAGCCACCCTAGAGACAACTATACTCTGTCTCAATATGGTTTTTAGAAATAAAATGCTGTTAATAACATGACTCTTCATAATGAGGCTGTGGTATGTCTCTCTCTTTTTTGATACTAATTAAAATTCGGCTTCTTGTTACACTTAATCACCACCCAGTCACTCATTGTATTAACTGACTTCATTGTAAAATGCATGACTTCGCTCAAGGAAAAGTCCTGAAGCGCACATGTTCCGCATTTGTATTCTATAGCTGTTCAGTTACTCAAGGAGAGCTGGGAGGAGTGTGGACTTAATAAGTAGTTCCATCAGGGTATGGATTTTACTTTTAAAATTACCTTGATTTTATGTATTTTAGGATATTGCTAGCAAATATGACTCCTTGCAAACAGATCAATTACATTGTGAAAAAAGGTGGGGGTTGATTAATTTCTGAAAGTAATGGCATGATTAATTGCCTAAGATAGAAGACCAGACTGCTTGATCAAGAAATTCTCTTTTACTCAGCCTAATTTCTCCCCATTGCATCTCTAATGGTAACTTTTTCCATTGCTGTTTTGGCACACTTCTTCAGGTTGTGGGTTAGAAGATATTTTTTTTTTATTACAAACCAAACTTTGTCTAGTTGGTGGAACCTCTGCAAGTACTAATGATGATGTAGATTTTCATCTGACTACAGTCCGACCACTGCGTATGAATCCATCACTATAGCCTAGTTTAGATTTTGACAGACATCCTGAGTCTAATAATAGTTAACAGTGCTACATGGTAATTATAATATCTGGAATGTGGACTTTCCTACAAACAGGAGTACTACCTCTAAAGATAATGCAGTCTGTAAAAACCTAGTCATGTGAGTAAAAATCCTCAATTAAACTGCACAATTAAATGAGTCCTTAGCTTTAGTGAGACTTAATATTATGTCAGCTATTCTTTTCCTCCAAGGTTGATGTATTAATTTACAAAATAACAATATTTTTACCCAGAAATTGTCAGGAAACAGACTATTGCATGGATAGTCATTACTGAGACATTGGAAACATTTCAGCCCATTTATCAAGAGTATGGAGCAAGCCAGATCATACAGGTATAAAAAACTGTATGTTATCAAGAAGCGAACTCAGAAAATTTACCCCCCCCAAAAAAATGTGCATAACAAAATTATTTGCTCCAAACCAGTATCATGCAGAATATTTTATAGTTAATAGAAAAGTCAAAGGTCAACTGAGCTGCTTTTTGACTAACATTACAGGAATTGTGAAGCAGCAGATAGACAGCCATATCAAAGATCCAGATCAACAGAGCAACGTCCTATGCTAGAGCGGACCAACTCCCGCTCCCGATCCACAGAGCGTCCTGACTCAAACCTCATCAGGTCGATGCCTTCATTAATGACTGGAAGATCTGCCCCTCCTTCACCTGCCTTACCGAGGTGAAACAGACAAATCAATCAGACTAATCCCCTTCTGCCCCACCAGCTCACCATTTTATTTTCCCAGTAGCTAATTGGTATCGCCTCATCCTTAGCTGATCACTAGTAGCAATAGATACTAACCCTTTCAGTGCCAACACACTATTTATATTCTACTCTGGATATAATGGTGTGGCTGCCATTGCAAATTGTTTGTTAACAGTATTTAACTACATTTGTTTGTGATTTCTCATTTATCAGGAATCCTGGATGGTTTCCCACATAAAGCACCTCATAACTATCATATTCTTCTCTTACAGAATGAGAAATTGTTAGATACTAACCCTTTCAGTGCCAACACACTATTTATATTCTACTCTGGATATAATGGTGTGGCTGCCATTGCAAATTGTTTGTTAACAGTATTTAACTACATTTGTTTGTGATTTCTCATTTATCAGGAATCCTGGATGGTTTCCCACATAAAGCACCTCATAACTATCATATTCTTCTCTTACAGAATGAGAAATTGTTTGTGTTCATCAGACATCGCTTATGGAACAGCCATCATAAAAACATCAAATGAAACTATTTTTTTAAAAAAAAAAGTTTCTTTAAATGGACTGTACTAACTTTGTGTATTAATTACCATTTTAACCACCAATTTCTCTGACTACATTTTACTGTGCCATAGTCTGTATTGTTCCTGTTTGAGTGCTATACTTTACTGATTGACATTTTGAAGATTTCTATACATTACTCTTAGCTTAAATAAACATAATACAGTAAAAAGATGGGTACATTTTGGTCTAGTTGATGTTCAGTAAAGCCTCTCCTTATTTTAGAACTGCAGAATACATTCTTTTGTTTTCTGAAAGTTAGAGTTAGTAACATCAAATCCCCAGTGAGAGTTAGAGTCAAATACCAGTGTCTTTTCTCAGTTTATTACTTTGTTTAGACAAATCCCTGTAATCTCATTGCCACTTAATGGTAATTTAACCAAATACAAGCTGAGTAAAGATCGTTGAATTTGACTTGTGGATAATTTTATGTGTATGTGGGTATTATATCCATATGCACATGAATATACACACAATACTTTTTCTGGCTTGACCGCAAACAAGCATCTTATAGATGTTCAGCCTTAGTTTGGCTTTCTTTTCTTCTTTTTCATGGAGAGATTTCTCTTTTTAATCAGGTCTTTTTCTGAAAAGAGATAACAGTTTCACTATGGGACTGCAAGGGTCCCAAGTGATCTAAAGCCTACTTAGTCATGTTATCAGTTCTTGACGGTAATTAAGGATTAATTTGTCATTTAATGGCTATGGTTTGTTTTGATATGTCTCATAGGTCACATCCTCGAACTGGGTCTGTTCAGACAAGTCCATCAAGTACTCCAGTAGTAGGGCGAAGGGGCAGGCAGTTACCGCAGCTCCCACCAAAGGGGACGTTGGAGAGAAGTAAGTGTATGGTTTTCTCCTTAATGACGTTGCAAAATTGCTCATGAAGGTCGATTATATTTATTATTTTTCTTCTGGCATTATAGTTGAAATCTCTTGAGTTTTAGTATTGTATTTTGTACTGTATTTTCTTCTATTATGTTTTAATATCTACAATACTCTTGACTGAAATGAATCATCAGCAGTACAATAATCATCAACGGTGCAATACACACGAACCAAGATGGACTAACTATTAGCATGATCCTGTTCCTTTTGAACTCAATAGGTGTTTTGTCATTGACTTCAGCAGGCACAGGAAATGATCTTTTGTATGTTGTTTAGTGATAAAACTCTGGCCTTTTCGGGAGTTAGGAGCATAGCTGATCACTTGTGGGTTCACACAGACTGTGTTACGGATTGCTAATACAAAACCTCTGCATCTTGAAACAGGAAGAGCAAGAAGAGAGGTAATAATCTTTAAAATAGGAAAGGTCAGCAAGATATTTCATGATTCATGTGTTGCTGGTACTGTAAATATGCTTACCTTTAATGCCTTATAAAAGCACTGGTCAATGGAGACATTTTCCAAAATGTTTAGAAACAGAGGTATATAAACACGATAGCAAATACATTTTTCACCCTTCCGCTGCTGATAACTAGATGCGCTGTGCAAAATCAGTCTAAATGGCCATATACACTCCTTTTTTTTAATCCTTTTTAACATGTATATTGTATCTTTTATAAAACTTCTGTTGTTTTTAACCCCTGTGCTTTGGTTCCCTTTTTTTTGTTTGTTTGTTTGTTTTGTTTTGTTACTTTCCATAGACAATGGAGACAAGGAGATAGAATCTTATGAAGGTCTGTACATAAAGGAGGGTTTGTTTTTCACCTGAAAGCCTTTTTGAGAGGCTATATAGGGAAAAATAAACCCAACTGCAATTGATGTTACTTGATTGCACAGACATAGTCAGAATTATTGTCAGAATTATTTAGTCTTTTTTATTTTCAGACCTGTGGCTCATAAATTGTACAGGGTTCTACATGAAAAAAAGACAGTATAAATAATACTATCTAAATACAATCATCATAAGAAAAATACCTAGACTTGTACCCGTTTTTAAATACCAAGGGTTTACACTGCAGCAAATAAGAGTATTTCAGTTAACCTACATATGTATGTACCTTTTCAGGATTAGCATTTCAGGCACATATTTAAATTTAAGCATTTGAGGCTATTTGGCATGTTTAATGTTATCCATGCATTTAATCAGAACAATGTTTTTATTGCAAATACGTTATAATGTTATACCGTTGCTGAATTACTAGGTAATTTTTCAAATAATATAGGAGCAAAAATTAATTGAGTCAAGATAGTCTTTCAAAAAGTTATAATACTTTTACTTAAAATTAAATCCCCTTATATTTTATACCATTAAATCCATTTAATTTGCTTAATAGCAAGCCACAAGATATCAATTGCAGTCCTTGGTTATACCACTGAGGGTCTATATGTAGTATTACTGTATCTGTCTCATCAGACCTTTTAATTTAGAATTTACAATGTTTATAGTGTTTATTTCCATTTTGGAAGCAAAGCTTCATGAAAAGAAAACTGTTTTCTCAGGTCATCACCTTAGTATATTCATTTCTGTGTCGTCTCATGTATTGTGAAATGTTTATATGAAATACAGTCTAGATATGCCAGGAAATAATCACATCTAATGACATAATGTTTGCTGTCATTGCTGTATATGCTTTCACGTTTTACCACTCTTCCCTGCTCTTTGCTTAGTATATCTATTTAGACTGTGAGCTCTTTAGGGCAGCAATTGTGAAGTACTGCATATTTTTACTGTGTTTGGTTAGAGAGTGTAGCAGTCTTATTTACATCATAGGTTCTATAGAGAGAAATATAATAAATACAATAAAATAATTATTTTTTATAGGAGTGCTAGACATGTTTGCTCTGGTAAGTACTGCTGGGACTTGAGGAACTCTGTTTGTTTTTACTTGAAGACTAACATTTTCCTGTACCTCTGTCTAAAGTAGTCTTTTGGAAAATCTGGGTTATGGAAAATTGCCAAATCCACAGATATTAGAGTTTTAATATACAATCAAAGCATCATCAGTGACTCAAGATACAGTAACTAGACATATTTCATGTTGAATTTTATACTTATAAAGGTGGTCAACACTGTAGTTAAAAACATAATCCATAGATACAGCTTTCACACGGTATTCTATATAATTTTCTGTCATGAATTAAGAGCTCATATTCTAATAACAAAATAGTTCTACTTTGCGGCTTTTTCTGTCCTTCTTTAGGATTTTCTAATCCTTTTCTTTAAGGGGAATAATCATTTTCTTTAAAAGGAATAATGCTCTACAAGAACAGCAGATTACCTAACTTCTGTCAGTGACAGAATGTTATTATGATTAATAGCAGTTTTTTACTGTGGAGAATTGAATTTTACAAAAAGTTATTTTAAGTAAATGAAATACCAGTGATAAAACCTGAAATTCAGTAGAATCGAAAACACTGACTATAGTAGAAGGGGTTTATGTAATTATTTAACAAATAAAGCAGCAAGTAAACCTGAAAACTTTATAGACATTTGAGTAGATTTTTATGTGTTATTATATGCCCCGGTGATAATCAAAACAGTTGTCTGCTGTTGGGAAGGCTCTATGACCATACCAGAAAATGTCATTGTCACAGAGTAGTCCTTTCTGTTCTTATAGAAGCATATACTTGACTTAAATGAGAGAGGGGATTTTATATTGCATGGAAACATGCTTTGGAGGTTAATCTTTCTGTGTTTTGAAATCAAGGATTTTATTGTTGACCAGATCAAGTTAAAATCATACTGAAAAAAGAGTTAGTAAAAGAGACATTATAGACAAAAAGGAATTGGAAGTCATGTTGGTTTTGTAAAAGAGAAAAAGAAAAACTTCTATGTTTGTAACTCCTACAGTAGTCTCCTTTAGTCTGTGTACATTTGAATAATCTGTATTTGTTACAGGGTTGAAACTGCATACCATTTCTAGAAATGTAGTAGAAATGCAGGGACTCAAACAGAAATAAGGGTGTAATTTGCAGCTGGGGAGATTTTTTGTTATAGTGCAGCACTCAGTATAATGTGGAATATGGAGTGCTTATGGCTATGTGACTAGAACCGGAAGGGAAGGAATCTACAGGAAAAAAACCCTCTGGGTAACTGCTTTCCAGATTAGGATCAGAATTAAAAGACATTGATTTGGGGTAGATTTAGTTCAGTGAAATATGCTATGTGGTTGCAGGTTTTTGCTCCAGGACATCTAGGTTTCCCGAGAATAATTTATTTCAAAATTCTGAAATAGCAGAGAAGTTTGCTTTTAAGAAATCTAGCTGTGACTAGCTATGGAGGACCATTCCTAACAGTAGCATATTGACCTATATATCTTTTTCTCAGTGTCCCACATGCTCAGTAGGAGAACATACAAATATCATTAGCTACGTTGCATTTACAGTCTTTACGGTCATGGCATTTTGGCTAATTCCTTAGCTTCCCACAGCTGTCTTGCTCCCAGTATCAGATTTACCTGTTCAGAAGAAAGACTGGGTATCTCTGAAATGCGTGTCATTATCTTATCTAGCCAGAATATACCATAAGCATCTAGGCAGTTTGGGTTTTACTTTAGACTTTGTTAATTTAGTATATTTTCATGTTAGATGGCTGGAAAATAGTTCTGAAAAGAAGTCTGGGACCACTTAAGCTTTTACTGGATTTTCGCTACTGAAATGCCAGAAGACTCTTTTTTTAGCTGAACTTTTGCTTGTCTATTTTTAAATTATACTAGAGATAGAGATAACTTGTTTCTAATGAACATTTGTAGAAAAACAACAGTATTATATTGTACTTGTTTTTAGCAGTGAAATGGTTATGTACTTTTAAATGTTCTGTATTATTAGCACTATAGACAATAAGTGAATACTGAAATATTTATAGTTCTTAAGGGTTAACAAGATTTTTTCATTTATATGTGGATATAATATATTTCTTTGTTCTCACCTTGGTAGAAGGATGAACTCAATGGCTGCTTACTGCTAATTAAAATGGAACACCATAAAGTGCTCTTGAAAATATTCAGTATTAGCCCTTTCAGTTTGTTGTTAATTACTAATCAGAGAAAGAGTATTTTTTCCTAATATGGAACTTTCCTTTTCCTCTTAAAAATAAACATAACCCTTTCTTTCTTCATCCCTACAAAAAGAAAAAAAAATCCCAACCATCCACCCAACCATAAAAACTAGAAAATTATGTCAATCCAAACAAATGTAATAAAACCTTTAAGTATAAAATGAAGTGCTCAGAAATTTAGCAAATAGTAGAGCTCAGTGAGGATTTGCCCTTCTATTTATGCTCTACGGTACAGACTTTAATTACATGATCTCATAATAATCTTGTGTCTTGGGAAAGTTAATTCAGAGGCTGTTAAAGCTGACATTAATGCTGATTAACTGTCCCCTTTTAACTTCAGGTATGGGTGATCTTATTCCAGAATAAAATAATCTACTAATGGAATTAACAGGGGCAGCTGATTAGGTTTAATCAGGGATAGCTATCAGCCATAACTCCAGTTTTTATAAGTCTCAGATAGAATTTCAAATATTTAAAAAGAAAATATCTATACTGTCAAATGCATTGTTGTTGCAACTCATGCAGTATGGAGTGCAATTTATGAGACAGTAATGGTTAGGAATACACAGATACTATTGACAGACAGAAAGAAATGCTGTTTATTTTAAGGGGTTTTGTCTCATTCAGTATATAATTTCTCTGTTAAATGCGACATAATTTTGCAAAATGAGAAGGAATTTTATTGTGTGTTTTCCAGTGCCCTATCATAGTTCAATGGGAGACAGAGAAAGACCATTATAACGCAATTGCAGAGAATCTGTATTCGCATTGGTCATAATTCTATCCTACTCTATCAGCTGTGATTTCACAGGTTTTTAAAAATATATGGCATACAGTAGTTTGTTTTGTAAAAGGTGGTTGGTGACGTGTATAATATAGGAAAGGAACTTTACCTATCTTCAGCTTGGCTAGGAACTTGATGACTTAGTCAAACACAGCAGTATAAAAAATGATGGTACATATATTTGCACCCACCCCCTTTTTGTGTGGTTATTTCTGTGGTACTGACTGTATGATGTTAGACACCTTCGTGCTTGCACGGGGTAACTTGCTTTATGTGCGCTTGACAGGAAAGTAAAGAGAATAGCTTTGTTAACATCAGTAACAAGGCTGCCTTAGGATAATGCATGAATCTACCTTGGGTTTTTGATTTCAGCTAGGAATTTGCAAAAATATACCTTTGGGTTTTACTTGTGGATGCTTAGTTCACTCTCCTGAGAGGCGGCAGAGTCCTCAGCCCCTGAAGAATATTAAAATATTTTATTTGCACTAGTACAATTTCCATAGAAAAACTTGAACAAATGTTAGTTATAAAACAGGGCTTAAGGTGCTTACTTGAAAGGTTCCAACCTTTCAAGGGAAGTAATTGTTCATAATTTTCTCTTGGATTGGCAAAAGGAGGAATTAAACACCTCTTTCTTCATGCCAGTCAAAGTTCTTACCATCTAGGTCAGAGACTACAAAGGGCATAAAGAAAAATGAGTAGAGAGTCATACAGCTGTGCTCATAACAGCCGTTGTTTGTTTATGTTTCAGGGTACCAACATGCCAAAAACATTTTAGTTCAATTTTACTGGAATTGATTTTTTAAAGTCTTTGGCCACACCTTCTACACATTCTCTCTATGAGAGAAGGTTGACTGTATAGATGGTGTCCCTGCTGAATATTTTAACTGGAA